CTGATGACAGACAGTACAACTCATATAGACTAAGAACTATCTCCCTCAAAGGAAAGTATGAATGTGACTCTAAGTGTCACAGAAAAACAAGATGTACCCTGGAGCTCAAATGTATACCCTGAAATTGTCCCCCTGCTACTTGATGCCATCCCACTGTTTCTGAAGACTTTTATGCACAAAGAGCTGATTCCTATCTGGAGGGAAAGTTCTTACTTCAGCTACAGGACATGATTCACATTTGGAAGTTATTCACTTGAAACTATTGACTAGAAGCCACATCTGATATCTGGGACTTCATCCTTCTATTAAGAAAGCTATACAAGTAGCAATATACTTTGGTTTAATCAATATAAACTTCCAGGATATGCATTTTCCCATGGAAGAAGCAGTAGTAAAAAGCCATATAAATATTACCCCCTGCCAAACCCTCAAAATAGTCCAGGTGAACTCCAGGCTCTATTTTAAGGCGTTGCTACTATAGTTACTGTATAATGCCCATTTTTTATATATGGCTTACCCTTAATGATGGATGTTGGGAATAAGTCATGGAGGATATTTGCTGTTGCTGTCTCTGTAGCATGGTACTGATTTAGGATCATAGAACAGAGTTAAGGCCCAAGACTCTTCAGACTAAGAGATGCTATTGGAATGCTTGGCTCCATCTCTCACAAGATGATTCTACAGCAACCACAAACCTTATGCCCCTATAAACTATGTCCTCTACATCTACATGTCAATTATGTTTTAGAAAATGCATGATCATATGGACTTGGTGTTGCTCAGTGTACTTGATTGCCACCCATCAAATTCTAAGTGCTCATCTTAAGGAAAACAGAGCTAGACCAATGGAACTGTGTACAGTGTTCCTGACAGTTGTTACTAAAACCTCAAAAAGCAGTTGGACAACCGTGATATCACCATTGTTGATGAGTAGTAGCTGTGTTCCCAAAGAATACTGGTATTGGTAGAACCATTAGAAATGTCCTTTCAGGAGCCAAATGGCATTGAGCTTTTGTTCTGCCATATGCAAATCAATTCTAGATATAAATAAAAGAATGTAAAAATTGAAACGAAGGAATAGCTATGTCACCTTTCCTAGCTCAGTACCATGAAGGAGAGGAAGTATTCAAAGAGACAAATACCCTCTTTCTGGATTATGTTATGAAGGGAGAATGCCATGTCCTAAGGATGTGGATCCTGCCTCTTTTATTATTAGTCTCTTTTGAGTTCTTAAACCTGAACCACAATTAATACAGAGTGTGACTTACTATTGAGTCATTACTGGAGTTGCTGGAACATGGAGTTGGTCAAGGGACTTCCTGTTACAGTAAGCTGACCCTGCTACATTACACTGGAACAGTCTACCATTCTTTAGGGAAAAATAAGGTTTCTAGCTTGTCTCATCCATGATTATTTATTTATAGTCTCATTCTATAAAGAATTAGAGCAGCCCAGAAAAAAGACATTTGAGACAGAATGACAACGTCTATTTAAAAAGTGAATTGGAAGGGGAAAGTTGGCTAAGAAAAACATAAACCTGGATGGCATTTGTGCATAAAAGTATATATACCTTGTTTCTGACTGGAAAGTTCATGATTTTGGCCTTAACTTTCCTAAAAATCAAAACAAATGTATAACATGATCACTTACATGACTTCCGGTATTTATGAAAGAAGAAAAAGATACTTATTCAAAAAAAAAGAAAGAATAGCTTCTATCAGTGCTGATAACCAAACTACCAATATGCTAGAGTTAGCAAGGTGGCCAATGTCCTTATCTTTCTCATCTTGTTGGCTAGAGCTGGTATATGACTTCACATAAGCACAAGGACTCACCATCCTGCCCTGTGCCCATTGGCACAGAAATTTAGCAAACAGAATGAATGACATCCAAACTAGGGATCTCATCCTCCCTCCCCCACTCCATCTTCTGCCCTGTGTAGCTCAGGCTGGATTTGACCTTGAAAACCTATTGCCTGAGCCTCCTCAATGCTGAGAGTTCAGCCCTGTGCAACCATGCCATACTGAGATTTTATCCCTCTCTATGCCAATGATATGATATCACAACTTACTTGATAATAATTACATTGGGAATTAGAAGTATAGTATAATTAGAAGACCATATTAGTTAAATAAATTAAGGAGAACAAACAGTATACCTAAATATGACACAATTGATCTCACATTTGTTACACAGCAGAATTGTTTGTGATGTAATGATTTAAACAGAAGCAGAACTTGTACTAAGCAATGTTAACTTGGCGAAGCATGCACGCTGGTTTAAATTCAAACAGAACTATGTCCTAGCAATGCTACCTCAGTAAAGTGAACACTACTGCAATTAAGCATATAAACATGGCATAAGAATTCAGAGAAGACAGTCATAGGAAGAAGTCAGTTCTGTGAAAAACAACTAGAAAATTCTAATGTCATGATGACTATACTTTTTGTTTTTAAAACTGACATTTATTCTTATGTGACATTTTTCTTAATCCCTTCCTGATTGTAGTTGAAATACCAACATCCAAAGAAAAAGTCGTAATGTGATGCTTATAAAGCAAGCTTTCAGAAGTCTGCACTTTGTAGCCCTACCAGTCTACAGGCCACTGTGAAGGACAGCTGTCAAAACATAAAAGTCTTGGGACTTTCTCGTTGCTTTATCTTGAAGGTTTTCTTTCCTCTGGTTCTGTAATGTCCACAAAGTTGATAGGGTTGTGATCAATGGCTCTGACTTGTTTCATATTTTCTAGGAAAATTGGGATAAAGTCAGAGAGATACTAACCCTAACACCTAGCTAGGAAAGAGAACAGAGAAATTTGTGGAGCATCAAACGCAAAGTCCAGCTGGAGGGTCCAAGGGTTCCTTCTGCAATAAAAGCAGAGCCACCAGTTGCTGCTCACTGTATTACCACATCCCATTTCTAATACTGAATAACACATAACAACTGAATATTTGCCTCCAGGAATCATAAAAAACAATAATAAAATAATGACCTAAATGATTGTTTTCTTTTTAAAAAGTGTTCATATTCACAACGGGGGATCAAAACCTTCTACAAGGTTCATAAAGAAAAATGTGTCAAAATGAAAGCTGTGCACTTTCCACTCAGACGGTTTTGTATTTCAGTTTCAATTCCAAAAATAATATTTTAAAATAAATGTCCAGATTCATATCTTAACATAAAATTTACACAGTTCCTTTTACACTATCTAATAACCAAAATGGACAACTGGATGCCTGCCTGACCCTGTCTGACCAGTTCTTTATGCTTGAATAATATAAGAAACAAGCTAACAAGACCTTGACAAGCATGGTTCTAAATGCTATTGATGGCCCTAAAGCAAGTCCACCTTTCAAAAACCCTCCTGCGCGCCTGATCTTGTTAGCACCAAGGGAGCAACTCAGATGCCATTAACTCATGAATCCCAGCAAGAGTTTCCCATCATTCATCTTACTTTCAGACATTACAGTTTCGCTTAATAGCCTCTGCTTCCCTGGTTAGCGGAGACCAGTGTCTCCTGAGTGCTCACGTTTTGTTACTGCTGTCTTTAAATACATTCTTCGTTCCTTAACACTTTTCATGTGAAGGCATTCAAGTTAGCAAATTTTAGGCAGAACCTCTGACAACTTGTGTCGAGTTTACCCATGTTTTTTTCATCCATCTCTTTAGTCTAAGTTCTAAGCGTCTTTGTTTTCCACTGCCAAGGTACATGTTTCCCACAGATCAGCAATGTTCCATCATCTTAGATAATCTAATCCACAATTGTTCTCTGATAGGGCTCAAGAAACCCTGACTTAAAGACTTCCAGAGAGGTTATGGTTTGCATACAGAACTTGCAAGACCGGTGAGGGGGAAAATGCTTCAGAAATGTAACTTGTGAATTTTTTCTTCATTCCAAAACCAAGAACAATAAGTCACACCCAAATAGTGTCTTTGAAACCTGTCAATGAGGAAGATAATACCATGACTTAGAAGATGTAAGAACCCATTTGAAATATCTTCTGCTGTGTTGAGCACAAAAGTAGGATCAAGATCACTGCTTAATAAACTTCCCACCTACCACCTCTATGCCTCATAGCTACCTTCCTCTTCTCTCAACAAATAAAACAGTATATGAATTCGTGGAATTCAAGATCCAAAAGATGTAACTGAGAATAAGCTCTAAAAAGCATATTTTCTCTCAATTGTGTAATCTTTGTGTGTGTGTGTGTGTGTGTGTGTGTGTGTGTGTGTGTGTACAAGCAACAGAGGGAAAATTCAGGCAAATCAAGAATGGAAAGGACATAGTGGGTAGAGAAAAACAGCAATCATGATAATATGTATACAGGACAAGGTCATAATGATATTATTTTGCACATTAAAATAATGGAAGAAAAAGAAATGTACAAAAGATTCCTAGAAATATAGATGCCTGCTAGTTCTACTAAGATACATTAAAAGAAAATACATAAAAGAAAATAAAAGGTAATGTGAATTTGGTCTGTCTGGTCCTCATCTCTCTGTGATGTTGGGTAAAATGAGAAAGATGTGGTAAGTTTTCAGAGACACATTAAGTTATAAACCCTCATTTGAATAATCTACATACTGGCATTGCCATGTCAACATACAATGACTTTTAGTCTGAGAAGAGCATTGTACTAAGGATAAAGACTACCCAATCATGTTGCATATCTAAGCTAGGAGGTTGCTTTTAGAGGCTTACAGAACAGAAAAGACAAAACCCTATGTCATCACACACAACTCCAAAGATAATATTTGCTGGTCAGAAACTACTTTTAAATTTGATCATCAGAATGATTACATCAGTGTAAGTCCAATGATATAAAATGAGTTGGAGTTCAGTGGCCACCTCACTAGCCGCTCATTGGCCTTGGAATGATGATCTACTGGGTCTACAGATTTCCAAATTCTGTGTTCACAAGTTTTTGCAGACATACACTGATGCTCTGCTTCCTATGATAATTCTGCTTCTGATTCTTTGCCTCGTATCTCTGTTGCAGATATTGTTCATGGGCATGATGACTGAATACTATCACTACTTCTTCACAACCCTGGTGAGTGCTTCCCCTAAGAATGTATTCCACAGATTATTTCACAAACAGCCCCTCCTGGGTCAAAGCACAGCTATTGTCATGGCAATTCCCTTTACTTTCCTAAGACTCCTCTAAACTCAGTGATGCTGAGAAGCAGGTATCTTTGCTTCTTTTTACAAAAGGATCATCAATGCATGGACATCAGAAGGGTGATGAAATCCCATTAAACCAAGAGCTATTCATACAGAAACACCAACTGTAACTTCTACATTCATTCAGAAGAGTTTTGAAGTGTGACCTGGAACCCTTTGATGTGATAAAGCAGCATTCCTGCCTGTATCCAGAAGACAAGGGGTTAAGATAGTTAGCCACCTGGCGGGTACTTGGGAAAGTTTCAACCAGTGAAATTTTGGAGGCACTGCATACATTGAACACTCTGCATCATTGAGGAAAATAATGGCTGGCAGCTTAAGAAGTCCAGAAGAATCTCTGATGGTTAAAATTTTGTGGGATTATTTAATTAAACAGGATTTACCAAAGTTAATTAATCTACCAAAATCATAGCTGACCCTCAATTGACCTCAGATATCAGTCAATAGACCTGGAATATATACAAGTCTCCCCAACACCTGCAGGATAAATTCCACTTTCTTACACGAGAAGAAAATCGGTGTTAAGTTTTCTTTATAATCTCTTTCATCTTTGTAGTTAGCCATTTTCTTTGTAATCTTTAAGGGTTTATCAAGCATAACCTGCCAAGATTCTTGGTAAGGTGGTTGGTAAGTTGCTGTTTTCTCAAATAAAATTGACAAGCCAAGCTGAAGAGTGTGGGTATCAAAGGATTTGGAGCAAGGAGCAGAAAGCAAACACAGCAAATGTTCCTCCAGTATCCCTGAGAGTATACAGGGTACAGAGCATATCATGCCATGAGCTTGTGGTGGGGAGGGGAACAGCAAGTTCCTACACCCCCATTTTGTTGATTTTGTGTCTCTATGTTGCTACTGACCACATCAATTCCACTTTCAGAACAGTCAAAGGTGACTTGGGTGTCAGCTGAGTGCTTTATTCTACTCACAGATGTGGCCCTTCCCCCGAGGTCCTCTGAAAGTTCTTTCAGCCTCAACCACACACACCTAGAAGAGTTGATTTGGGAGCTCTTTCAGAGACTCAAGCCTAGAACCTAGGAAGGCTGGTCCTCAACAGAAGCTATTGAAGGAGAATGGGTTGTTCAATTTTCATTCCTGTCCACTCCTCACTCGCCTGACCTCATCATTCTGCATTCGCAGGAAATGTAGCAATCAGACAGGAATTTTCTACCTTCTGTATTGCATAGGAATGTCAAGTTGCAGGACAGCTGAACTCTACATACATTTGAAATATTCATCATATGAAATTTAGCAAACACACTAGAATTTTCTGTAACTAAGTAACTTTCCCTCTACTCATTGAATGTCCTAAAGAGATAACTTTCCCAGCTCTTATTGTAGTATTGCTTTGTGTTTCCCTACAGTTTGATCTGCATTCATATTCTAGCCAACTTGGACCATAAGCATTAACAAAAATTTTCTGAATTCTAAGAAAATACAAATTTTACACACACATACTCATATACATTGTGTGTGTGTGTGTGTGTGTGTGTGTGAGAGAGAGAGAGAGAGAGAGAGAGAGAGAGAGAGAGAGAGAGAAAGTAGATGATAATGTTGAAAAGGCAGTATAGGACTGAAGATATGGCTCAATAGTTAGGAGCACATACTGCTCTTACAGAAGACTGGAGTCTTTTCTTCCCAGCACCCAAATTGGGAGGTGGAGGACTCACAACTGGCTGCAACGCCATTGCCAGGTGATCAGATATCCTCTTCCAGACTCCACTGGCACCTTCACTCAGTTGCACATACCCACACCAGACACAGACTCTTAACTGGATAAAAACAAAAGAATGAGTACATATAAAGAGGCAGTATAGCCTTCTTAATCTAGAGCTAGCAGAGCGGGGCTGTGCTCTCCCAACTCCACTGCCCAATGCAAACTTATCTTGGGAATGGGAAGCAATAGAAGCCATCTACAGAAGAGGGAGAGAGTCACACCTTCTACACACGCAAGTCATGGCGCAATCCAGTGCCACTGCCTTGAGTAACCGCCGTCCTCACCATAGCTGAACCACATCGGACTCCACTCAGAACACCTTTTCATTGCTAGACAATGTTGGTGTAAACTTTTTTTTTTTTTGTCAAGTGTTAATTTTGGCTTCTTTAGTTTCTTCTCAAATGTGGAATATTTTTAGTGGCGTGGTTTTACTGAAAATATTTTTTATAAAAATTGCGATGGTCATTCTGTTTTAAATATGTATCTAGTGATAAATTTCTAGTTTATATCCAGCTTCATCTGTTCTGGAAAACACTGGGGTGGGTTAGGCATGTTTTCTGACTCACTGTCAAAGGTTAAATGAGTCTCCTGGAAGTCTTCACATGCCCACAAGCACAGAGTCTGATATATTCTCTTAAAAAGCCCTCATTCTGAGCCCTTCTCCAGTGAGTCCGGAGTTGGCCGGATAACATAAGATTGTCACCAGGGAGCCACAGGACACCATTCTTGCTGCCTAGAAGTCTTCTTTCTCCATATGCATGTGCAGATTTCACAGTTCACCTCAGCAGCAGGACCCAGAACTCCCCAAAGCAGCAGTGTGCTGAGCATGGCTGATGCTGTCATTGCCTAGTGCTTGCTTTGTGGTCCTGTCACCACTGAGAACATTTTCCTTCAGCTATAAAATAAAACACAGGCAAAGAGACAGAAAGATCTCATCTAACTCCTCAAAGACTGTATCCTGGAAAGAGAATTCTTAGCTTTCAAATACCATTTTCAAGGGCCAAGGCTAGACAAACTACCAGTCAATTCCTCTTCTTCATTTATCCAAACTTAACACTCTTTCACAGACAGCTGTGATAACACTGCCGTTTGTGTTTTCATCTTTTTGTTGCTTCTGTAATTATTTATTTTCTTTAGTACGAAGAAGAGAAATAGTGCTAATTAATTTCTACTTTTGTCTTTATAACACCACACAGGACTTGTTCGCTTTAGATCTGGAACTCTACAGGTACAGTGGCGTAAATATGACTGGGTTTCGGTTGCTGAATATTGACAACCCTCATGTGTCATCCATCATTGAGAAGTGGTCCATGGAAAGGCTACAGGCCCCGCCCAGACCTGAGACTGGTCTTCTTGATGGCATGATGACGGTGAGTCGTAGTTTTATTTCATTTTAAAATATGTCTTCCGTTTGGTGGTTTTCGGGTTTCACGTAAATATAGAATGTATTTGATCAGATTCATCCAGACTCCCTCTGTCCAGCCCCAAAAGTCTCAGATCATTGTGGAAAAGGATGCAGATGTGGGCAGAAAGGCAGCACATAATTTTAATGAAATCTCATGATCATGTTTTAAGTGTGAGGAAGTGAAGTTAAGCATCTTGTATGAGCAAATGTGTGAGTATATGTTATTGTAACACATGCCTTGGGAGAAGAGACTTGTCAAGAGAGAAGGAAAGAGGCTCTTTAGATATTTGCAAGCTTGTGAATGGCTATTATCAAAGGCTGTAATCTTTTTATTTCCAACTGCACTTGTCAAAAAAATTAAGTTGCTATCACCATTTCTCAAATAAAGAGAGAGCAGGAACAAAAGAAAGGATAAGTAAAGAGTGTTCCCCCATAGGGATGTGTCTTTGGGGAGGAGTGCAGAGGAGTGAGAAACATCCTATCTGTAATCATTGTACAGACCTGGTCTGCAAAAGCAGGTATAGACAATGCCGGATCTCCACACGGCCCGTGGGGTCAGGTCCTTACCATCTCAACTTCATATGGGAAGTTCCACAGAGGCTAACCATGCTTAACTCCAGTCATATGTTCCTCCTGACATGGATGCTAAAGAGTCAGCGCTAGTTATCTGAACAGAAACTTTCAAAGGGCCTCATAGAGAGCTTTGAGGAAGCATCATTTGTCTCACGCTGTCAAATGTATCTACCCTTGCTTTATTTCTCTAATGAGGCTGACTGGGTGAAGAATATAGAAGGAAATAATAATAAAAAAACTTGCTTCCTATGTAGGAACAGTACTACTAAGGGGAAAGATATTGGGAATGCAAGCAGGTAATAGCATTTTAAATTGGTGTAATATTTCATTCTCTGTTCCCATCATCCGGAGAAACATTCTTGCTCTTAAGATGCAATTTACTGATAACTGAAAGGTATCATCTCACTGAAAAATGAACTTAGAACTTCATTTTTTGCTTTCCTGTGAGGAACAAATGAAATGGAGGAAATTGATGAATGAATTAAGTGGTTCTGGATGGCTCTATGTTCAGAGTCCCTGGCTGTTTGGCAAGCCTGAAATAACTCCGAAAACACACAGTGATCCGGGAGATAATGATGGAGAGTGTTTGGGTACAAATGAGCCTCCAATGACTTGAAACATTGCTTTGGATGAAAACAAGTAGAGAATACCCAGAGAAATACTAGACTGCAGAAAAGGAAGGGGACTGTCACTTTCCTGGTTCCAGGAAGGTTTCTGTTACAGGACGATCTAGCTCTCCCGTAAGTCTTTCCTGTGCCCAGTGTGCAGCAGTAGGCAGCGAGAGTTGGAAGCTGTTCTCACACTGATAACTGAAGTTATGATAACTGATAGTTATGTCATAGCTTCATGCTAAACTTTGAATATCCACTGCAAGAATGGCTTAATTTACCAAAAACAAAAGCGCCGGTCTATTGTATTACATGGAGCTGACAGAATAATTTGGGACCAAGTTGAAAACCATGCAACAAGAAACATCAAGCTGTAGAGTTTTCAGAGATTCAGGTGAGCACAAGGTAACTCTGTTCCCTGGTGTTGTTGCCAATCACATCAGCTAATGGTAGCCTAATGGACAGGAAGAATGTCAAGGCTGGGTCCTGACTGAAATAGATGTCATGTCTAAATTTATCAAACCTGGAAAATAGGTTTCAGAAATGCTTGTATTTCTATTATTAATAGTAATATAATGTTAAAAGAAAGGTTAGGGTTAGAGAGATAACACAGTGTTAGATCCTCTGAACATGAGTGTGAGGAACTGAGTTTGAATCCCCAGAAGGGACAGTAGCCTGCATCTGTAATCTGAGCTCTCCTACAGCAAATTGGGAGGTGAAAACTATAACTCTCAGAGACTCCTGGGCTAACTATGCTGAAGTTCATTGTTCAGAGAACAACAAAAGGAAAAAGGAAACTCAAGCAGGGTAGAAGGTAAGAACAAACATGAGAGGTTGTCCTCCTGCCTCTATAAATGTACTGTGTGAACACACTCACACACACACACACACACACACACACACACACACACACACACACACACACACTATACTCATAACATAACATTTTTGATGAAAAGAAAAGTGAGAGTCTATAAAACCAGAAGAGGGTGTTTCAGTGCAATGATGTAAAAGTAGCTACAATAACTATGTCAGGGCATGTCAATATGAGTAAACAGTAGTGATATAACAAAGAACCTACTAAAGTTGGGTAAAACAACTGTGTAATAGCTTTGGAGTTAATTATGGGAGCCATACTTTTCAACCAATATTTATCCAAAGAATGACTATGGAAACTAAGTCTCTCTGTTTCACCAAAATGAAGATAATTTAGAGATTTAGAAAAAGGCCTTGTCCAAGGACATTCAATGAGCCAATCAGAGTCAAGAGAGCATAACCCATGACCCTTATTCTAGGTCCAATGCTAAGAATTCTTTGAAGTTAAATTACCTGAGTGGGAATGTTCTTTGTACTGAGTGTATGTATTAAATCCTACAAGTACATTTATTCTTACATGCCAAGTACTTGATGCCCTGACTTCCTGCATCCACCACTATTCAGGCTACTTCAATAGTAAGGCCTTCTGTGAACTGAGTTATATTATGACAGATTACTCTGCTGAGAATCTCATGCCTACCTGCTCTAATTTTCTGCCTAACCCTCATAACCTCTCATGTTATATTTTGTTTTGTTGGATTAGCATCTTTCTCTGCAAGAATGCAAATATTTAGATAGAGATACTTTATTTTTATTTATTATTATTATTATTATTATTATTATTTTATTATTATTATTATTTGGGGGTTTTTTTGAAACAGGGTTTCTCTGTGGCTTTGGAGGCTGTCCTGGAATGAGCTCTTGTAGACCAGGATGGTCCTGAACTCACAGAGATCCACCTTCCTCTGCCTCTTGAGTGCTGGGATTAAAGGCTTGAGCCACCACCACCCAGCTTAGATACAGATACTTTCTATTTCTGTAATATTCTCTTTCCCTGGAATTCCAAAAGGCAAGGCACAAAGAAAGCTTCAATAACTATGCATTCGATAAAATAATTTATGCAGAAAAATAAATTTAATTAAGATTGTACGAAAACAGAAGATGTTTAAATGAAGACTATTCATATAGCCCTGAAATATTTGTCTAGAAACCAAAGTTCTTACAAGCAAGAAGCATGCCTTATTAATGAAAATGGAGGTTATTCTCAAGTAATAAATTATTTTTTTAATTTTATAAACTAACATTATTAATGGCATTACTAGTAAGCACAGTGGTTAATTTTAACTGTCAACTTGGCACCACCTAAAGTCACCTGAGGAGAGAAAATTAAAGAGGAATTATTAGCTCAAGTTGGTCTGTGGCATGTATACAGGGATATGAGGAATTTTCTTGACTGTTAGTTGATGAAGGAAAACCTAGCCCATTGTGGGCAGCACCATTCTCTATTCAGAGGTACTATGCAAAAGAAAAATAAAAAGGTAGTTGACCAAGCAAAAACGGAAGCATAGATGCACACATTTATTTTCTCTCTGCCCTTGATTTGTGGAGGCGATCCTAATGGTTACTGCCTTGACTTCCCCAAGACAATAGGCTGTAACCTGGAATTGCAAATAAATTGAATTTTCAGAATATTTTATCACAACAACAGTAAAGCAACCAGATTATGAATAATTCCATGGATATAATAGATTTGTGTTCTCTAAAATTCATATGTATCATCCTGGTGCTCTTCCAGATGCATTGCCTGCATCTGTCATCATAGTCATTTTCTTACATGTGCCACACATGTTTATAGATTATAGAAGTGAGCATATAAGAATTAGTAAATAATATAAAGGGGAAAGCCTGTTTTGACTACACATTGACTTACTTATTTTTTCTTTCTTTATAAATGCAGCACACAAGCTTTAACAAAAGTAACAGGTAAAGTAAAATAGGCACTACTTATATTAAGAAAATACTACAAGGAAATTTATCTTGAACAACTTAAAATAACCTACATGCAATTGTATTTAACTGAGCTCTGTTGCTGTGAAGAATACAGCTCGTGCACAGGTATGGATGAAAGATTTGTACATTTTTCAAGTATTCACTGAACACTACCTTATATACACATATACATTAACTTCGAAAAAGATTAGGCGATCCCAGCTGCCCTTCATTTTTGTTGTTCTTTTGGAAGAGGTCATCTAAAGAGGAGAATATGCGGCTCCTGGCTCATGAATCATGTAATGAACCCAACCTAGACTCTGTTGCACACCAAGTCTCCTCCACGCCTCTTCAGACATCAGATGAGTTTTTGGTCCTTGTTTGGAGAGTTCTCTGGGGAGCATGACATGCCAGTACTCATAGTGCTCCTTGAAGTACTTGTCCCAGTAGTAGATCTGCTTGTGGGACATCCTATCGGCGCACAGAGCAGAAAACGCGAGCAGGAAATGGGGCACAAGGAGCTAGCTCCAAGTTCGCCTACGGCCAGCACAATAACTCGAATGAGGCCTTTCTTTCTTCTTTTTTTTTTTATAAAATTTTTATTTAAATTAGAAGCGATCTTATTTTTCTTATCTATCCCATTTCCCTCTCACTCCCATCCTCCCATGCCCCCCACCAACCCTCCATCCCACCCCCCCATTCCGCTCCCCAGGGAGGGTGAGGCCTTCTATGGGGGACCATTAAAGTCTGTCACATCATTTGGGACAGGACCTAGGCTCTCCTCCATGTATCTAGGCTGAAAGAGTATCCCTTCATGGGGGAATGGGCTCCCAACATTCATTCATACACTAGGGATAAAAACTGTTCCACTGACAAAGGCCCCACCCCATAGACTGACCAGTTCTTCTTACTGACACCCACATTCAAGGGGCTTGGTTCCGTTCTATGCTGGTTCTATTTTAAAGGTAATTTCTCAAAG